AGTAGCAGGAGGCCGTGGTCGTGGTGCTTGGACACGTGGCGGTGGGAAAAATGTAGTGGAGAGATGTGTAGGCGGAGTGGGAGGGAAAGTTGGAGACTGGTGAGAAGGGAGGTTGGACGATGGTGTAGGAGCGGTGTTGTTGTGGTGAGAAGAATCGCCCGTGATGGGTGGTTCTGGATCGCCACGTGCGATTTCAGTACCAGGAGGTGGATTGATCTCTTCTTCCCCACCATAATCGGCGTCATCATGACGTAGCCCGGTATCTCGAGAGCGAGAGCTGTGGCGAAGATCACGTCGTGAACGATGATGAGTAGACTCCAAGGAAGAGCTCGCCATGTGGTCAGAGCGCCCGGAAGTACGAAGCAAAGAAAACCAAGGAACCAAAGTCCAAGCTTGAGTAAAATGAAATTAAACGAGTTGGTGAAAAAGATGGTGTGCACACAAGCTGGAGCCATAGGCAGTAGAGTATGTGATCGCATCAATGAAGGAGCCAAAGTAATCAAGAGTCAAGTAAAACAGAATTGAGATGCGAGTAAACTCTTTTTGATGTGGCGTGTGCAGCAGTAAAGTGAGACCAGAAGTCTAAGATCTAGGCATCCGGGAGCGGGAGCGAGATCGTGAGCGAATATGAAGACGAGGTCGTGGTACATGGCGAGAAGGTGAAATCCGGGTGTCCGTAGTACGTGTCCTGGTAGGGCGAGAGGAAGTCGTAGCCGATCGAGGTGGAGCAGGATCGATGAAGTCTGTGAAATCGGTGCGACCTTCTAGTTCAGCTTCAAGTTGTTGCGGACTCTGTCGAATGATATGGATGAGACCGAGGGCAGTAAGGAGCTCGTGGGTGTAATGGACGGCGGTGTGGTTGAGACGTAGAGCAAGAAGAAGGGTATTGTCCAAGCCTTCAAGGTGAGCTCGAAGTTGTGGGTTGGTCACCCGAGACATAAACGGGCATGGATCTGGGCCAAAAGAACATGTACGAGTAAAAGTTCTCGATAGAGCATTCCTTGAGCTCGAGGTGGAAGACCATGAATCGGTGCAAGGCCACAGAGCGGTGTAGATGTCGAGGCCATGGCGAGTCGAAGTGAAAGAGGGAATGGAGGGGCGAGATGGGCGATCGCTGGAAAGCCGGATACAGCGCCAGGTGAAAGAAGAGAGCGAAGAAAATGGACATCAATCCTTGTAGAAGAAACAGGTGGTTGTAAACAATCAGACATCAAAAGAGCTCAAAAAAGTGGATAGTTTTGGCGCATACGGAAGTGGTCCGGTAGGTGAGAAGGCAGCTAAAATCTGAACCGTCGTGGAGGTGAACGTGAGCGAGAGGGAGAAGATGATGATCTCGGCAGCCTCAACAAGGTCGTAGGTGAAGCTGAAAAGACGAGGGTGGGAGGAGAAATCGTAGGGTTGGCGGAGATAGGAGCTGTAGTCGTAGTCCCCGTCGTCGTTCCAGGTGGAGGAGATTGAAGGACAAAGAGAGTAGGCCTGGAAGGAGGAGGAGTAGTAGGAGTAGATCGTCCAGTAGAGCGTGGAATGGCCAAAGCGGAGCATAGGTCGTCGGCATAGATCAAAGTAGTACATGTAGTTCGTATCTGTTCAAGGCAATTCTCAAGGGCACGGAGATTGGCACTGATACGAGGGCATGTGATCGTGTCCACAACGGATGGAGTGACAGAGTCAAAAGGTCCACGTAGGATCATTAGAATCAAATGTAGGGAAGAGTGTAGATGAAGTAGTTCACGATGAAGCACTTCCTGAGCCGCAGCAGGTAGGCCGGAATGTGAAGTCACGTCCGTAGGTCGAGTAGATGTCGTCGAAGGTGGCAGCGACATGGCAATGAAGCGATGGAGGTGAGCTCAAGTAGAGGGGCATAGAACTTGGGGACGCTGTGAGCCAGGTGGAACCCAAAGAGTAAAGTCCAAGGAATCAAGCATGGAAAAGGTGAAGCTAACAATTGGGTAAAAAGTGTAGTAAGAGATGTTTTCGGAACCGAGGAAGCAGAATAAGCGAAAGACAACCTAGAGATTCCTAGGAGTCGAACGGGAGTGAGACCGGGACCGTGGTAAAGCTGTACTGGAGCGATTGAGTACTGGACGACGTGGACGTAAAGTGGATGGGGTTCTCGGCGGAGGAATCGTAGAAGCGCCCGGAAAGGAACTGGTAGATGGTGTACTCCGTGTCGTAGCCGGGGCCCGAGGAGAGGTAGAAACCATAGGGAAAGAAGGAAGACGAGGGTCAGGAAAGGTCGAACATCCGCGTAATTCAGCATCAACCTGAGTGTTGTCGCAGTTCACGGTGTGCATCATCCCAAAAGTAGTGAGAAGTTCGTTGACATAGTGCACTCCGTTGTGGATGGCCTGAGTCGCTTGCTGAATAGCAGAATCCAGACCTCGAATTTGTAGCTGAATATGCGGTGAGGTGATGTAGTCCATGAAGGAGGGGTTGAGAATGGCGAAGCGGGTGCGAAGAAGGGAGACAGCGAGAATCAACAAACCATGTAGATGAAGAATTTCTCGATGTAAGATAGTCTGGGCTCGCATCGCGACGCCGTCCACGGGGTTGAGGCCAGCTGGAGAAGGGAACATGGCGAGAGGAGGAGGATCAACTGGGACACTAAGGCTCCAACAGGTTCCAAAGAACCTTGAACAAGCTTTGGTCGCTGCGACCACGTACGGCTTGCCCGAAGGCTGCCACCTTTGACCGCTACGGTCACGTAAAGGCATGAGCCAGCTTGGAATTCCAAAGATGAGACATAAAATCCAGGCAGTGGATACGTTCGACGTACACCCGTTCAACGGGTCCACGGGAGGCACTCTGCGGGCTCATCCCGGGTTGGCACGAAGCCAAACACACTCATGGATATGCGTACTGACTTGATAGCGGTGCCACACGCCAGCCTAAGAAACCCAAATCCTGAAAAATCAGGTGAGGAGACTTAAGGGAGTAGAGGTCCATCAGCTCCAAAAGAAAACGCCGATCGAACGAACGACAAGGTGACGACGTGCGTGCAGAGAAGCCAAAAGCATCGCCGCTGCAGTAGCCCTTTACTGAAGGAAACAACGAAGTAGACAGCTTGTGCTCTACGTAGGTTCATTTCAAAGCAGGTACGTAGCTCCAGCGTCCCGGAGCTATATCACAGACCAATGCAAGCGTCTTTGTTAGTGCCAGACTTGCATGGTCCCTGGCACCCCCTGCTAAAAGCTCAAAACAATCCGAAGGATCCCTATGATTCCAAGGGTTACACACACACACACACCCCGAGGGGAGGCGTATTGAAGGCGCGGACAAAGTAGTAGTAAGGCCAGGAACCTCTAGTAGCGTCAAAGTAGCGTCCTAGCACCTAGTAGGAAGGCCAGGAGCCCCTAGTAGCATCCCAAGCTAAGGTCGTGACAGGAGGGAGGGGTAGGGAGAGACGAGAAAAAGGAAAGAGAAGAAAGGAAGGTGTTCCCAGCTACGACGCATGCGTCCAAGGACACACCAACGGAAGAGAGGCAAAAGCATCCAGGGACACCCAAGGAGGAAGGAAGGTGAAGAGAGGAAAGAGAGAAAGAAAGAAAGAAAGAAAGAAAGAAAGAAAGAAAGAAAGAAAGAAAGAA